TTTTTTGCTGTTTTTTGGCCACTTATGAAAAATGGAAAAAGTCGCTAAAAATGGACGAAAAGTTAAGCCTATAGCCTTACCTTTTGGTGTTTTTTGGCCACTTATGAAAAATGGAAAAAGTCGCTAAAAATGGATGAAAAGTTAAGGCTGTTTTGCTGTTTTTTGACCACTTATAAAAAATGGAAAAAGTCGCTAAAAATGGACGAAAAGTTAAGCCCTATAGCCTTACCTTTTGGTGTTTTTTGGCCACTTACGAAAAATGGAAAAAGTCGTTAAAAATGGACGAAAAGTTAAGGCTGTTTTGCTGTATTTTGGCCACTTATGAAAAATGGAAAAAGTCGCTAAAAATGGACGAAAAGTTAAGCCTATAGCCTTACTTTTTTGGTGTTTTTTGGCCACTTATAAAAAATGGAAAAAGTCGTTAAAAATGGACGAAAAGTTAAGGCTGTTTTTGCTGTTTTTTGGCCACTTATGAAAAATGGAAAAAGTCGCTAAAAATGGACGAAAAGTTAAGCCTATAGCCTTACTTTTTTGCTGTTTTTTGGCCACTTATGAAAAATGGAAAAAGTCGCTAAAAATGGATGAAAAGTTAAGCCTATAGCCTTACTTTTTTGCTGTTTTTTGGCCACTTATGAAAAATGGAAAAAGTCGCTAAAAATGGACGAAAAGTTAAGCCTATAGCCTTACTTTTTTGCTGTTTTTTGGCCACTTACGAAAAATGGAAAAAGTCGCTAAAAATGGACGAAAAGTTAAGCCTATAGCCTTACTTTTTTGCTGTTTTTTGGCCACTTACGAAAAAATGGAAAAAGCCGCTAAAAATGGACGAAAAGTTAAGCCTATAGCCTTACTTTTTTGCTGTTTTTTGGCCACTTATCAAAAATGGAAACAGTCGGTAAAAATGGACGAAAAGCTAAGCCTATAGCCTTACTTTTTTGGTGTTTTTTTGACCACTTATCAAAAATGGAAACAGTCGGTAAAAATGGAGGAAAAGTTAAGCCTATAGCCTTACTTTTTGCTGTTTTTTGGTCACTTACGAAAAATGGAAAAAGTCGCTAAAATGGATGAAAATTTAAGCCTATAGCCATACTTTTTTGATGTTTTTTGTACACTTATGAAAAATGGAAAAAGTCGCTAAAAAGGGATGAAAAGTTAAGGCTGTTTTGCCGTTTTTTTGGCCACTTATGAAAAATGGAAAAAGTCGCTAAAAATGGACGAAAAGTTAAGCCTATAGCCTTACTTTTTTGCTGTTTTTTTTCCACTTATGAAAAATGGAAAAATTCGGTAAAAATGGACGAAAAGTTAAGCCTATAGCCTTACTTTTTTGCTGTTTTTTGGCCACTTATGAAAAATGGAAAAAGTCGCTAAAAATGGATGAAAAGTTAAGCCTATAGCCTTACTTTTTTGCTGTTTTTTTGCCCACTTATGAAAAATGGAAGTCGCTAAAAATGGATGAAAAGTTAAGCCTATAGCCTTACTTTTTTGCTGTTTTTTGGCCACTTATGTAAAATGGAAAAAGTCGCTAAAAATGGACGAAAAGTTAAGCCTATAGCCTTACTTTTTTGCAGTATTTTGGCCACTTATGAAAAATGGAACAAGTCGCTAAAAATGGACGAAAAGTTAAGCCTATAGCCTTACTTTTTTGCTGTTTTTTGGCCACTTATGTAAAATGGAAAAAGTCGCTAAAATGGATGAAAATTTAAGCCTATAGCCTTACTTTTTTGATATTTTTTGTACACTTATGAAAAATGGAAAAAGTCGCTAAAAATGGATGAAAAGTTAAGGCTGTTTTGCTGTTTTTTTGGCCACTTATGAAAAATGGAAAAAGTCGCTAAAAATGGACGAAAAGTTAAGCCTATAGCCTTACTTTTTTGCTGTTTTTTGGCCACTTATGAAAAATGGAAAAAGTCGCTAAAAATGGATGAAGAGTTAAGCCTATATAGCCTTACTTTTTTGTTGTTTTTTTGGCCACTTATGAAAAATGGAAAAGTCGCTAAAAATGGACGAAAAGTTAAGACTATAGCCTTACTTTTTTTGCTGTTTTTTGACCACTTATAAAAAATGGAAAAAGTCGCTAAAAATGGATGAAAAGTTAAGCCTATAGCCTTACTTTTTTTGCTGTTTTTTGACCACTTATAAAAAATGGAAAAAGTCGCTAAAAATGGATTCGTCTTATCTGTTTCAAGCATTGTAGTTGTTCGTTTTAAAGTTTGTTCTTCCGTTGAAGTGATTTCTTCAATTTCTTTCTTTTTTTTTTAGTTTTTCGTTTTAAATCACTTTGTTCTTCTGTTGAAGTGATTTCTTTAATTTCTTTCTTTTTTTTCAAAAGCTAGCGATGAAAAATTGTCAATCAAAATAGCCTTGCTTTTTTGTTGCTTTACGTCAAAATGGACAAAAAGTAAACATTGAGACACATTTTCTCATCAAAACAATCACTTTCAATTGATAAAAACACGTTTTAAAACATTTTGCAAAGCGGGCCAACCACAGGCAAGTGGCAATCTGTGCTCAACAAAGGGAGAGCACAGGAATTTTTTAAATAAAAAGGCCCGGAACTATTATTCCAAACTTTCTGAAAATTGTCGATAAGCATTTATTTCTCTCATCAAAACAATTACTTTCAACTGATAAAAAATGCTCACTGACATAGGGCTTTGCATTTATTGGCTTAGATTGGATGAATTCCCCAAGGGATAACATATTATTCAGAATTTAAAATTTTCATGCCACATTGCCTGGAAGGCGTTTTATAAACTAACCTTATTTAAATGATTCAAGACAGCGACTGTAGATGATTCTTTTTGGTATAAAATAATTTATCTTTCTTTTCCTGTCATGTAATCCGGTTCAACTTTGAGGACTGATCACTGATCCAAATTCTCTTGGAACAAAATACCTAAACAATGAAAGATATTAATCTAGTTATTTGCACATATCAACTGACAACATATCTTATCTAACTGATACCAGACGAAGGATGCAACAGAAAAATTCATATTTTTGTTTTTAAAAATGGGTGTACCACAGGAAATTTTTTAAAAATTCATAAAGATCCCAAAACTCACAAAATTTTCTTTCTCTCATCAAAACAATCACCTTCGACTTAGAAAAACTTGTTTCAAAAACTTTGGGTCAAATGCAAAGGGGGGATCATAGGCAACCAAAGAAAATTCACACTTTTGTGTTTAACCCATTAAGCGCCAGCACTCTCTCCTTGATGAGTAAAATTGTCTGGCGTTAGACAGAGTAAAATAACAAAGCAGGGTGCATCTGGGCACAATCGGGCGCATCGAGCACTTCTATCATGAGCCCCTGGCTCGAGTGATTGGGCAACCACACTCTGTGTCATTCGACATTAAATAAATTATTCTTCTATTCTATGCGACTCAATGGGTTATATACACCCATGGGCAGATAGGCCAGTTAACCCATTAAGCGCCAGCGCTCTCCCCTTGACGAGTAAAATCTTCTGGCGTTAGAGAGAGTAAAATAACAAAGTAGGGCGCATCTGGGCACAATGAGACTCGATGGGTTAAAAATGAGAGTACCATAGGAAATTTTTTAAAAATTCATAAAGATCCCCCAACTCACAAAACTTTCTTTCTCTCATCAAAACGATCACCTTCGACTTAGGAAAACTTGTTTCAAAAACTTTGGGTCAAATGCAAAGGGGGGATCATAGGCAACCCTACAGTCAACAAATGGCGATCACAGGAAAAATTCAAGAGGCCCAACTCACACCAAACTTTCTGAAAATTGTTGAGAAACATTTCTCTAATCAAAACGATCACTTCCGACTCATAAAAACATGTTTCGAAAAATTTGGGTCAAATGCAAGGAGGGGAACACAGGCAACCCCAGGATCAACAAAGGGCCCGGGGGACAACTGGAAATTTTCCCAAAACTGCCCCAAGCCATTCAAAACTCACAAAATTTTCTTTCTCTCATCAAAACAATCACCTTCGACTTAGAAAAACTTGTTTCAAAAAACTTTGGGTCAAATGCAAAGGGGGGATCATAGGCAACCAAAGAAAATTCACACTTTTGTGTTTAACCCATTAAGACCAAAGAAAATTCACACTTTTGTGTTTAATTAATGAAAAAAGTTGTGAAAATCGATGACTGTTAAAGGCTATAATAGCCTTATTTTTTGTCGTTTTTCCCATAGACGGATTTTCATATTTTTTACTGGGGTGGTGCCAGAAATTTTAGGGGGGTGAGCCGTGAGCAGGTGACTGAAGCAACACAAAGTGTCACCAAACCCCAGTAAGGTCTATATTCTAGGGGTGGAGCACTAGAGCCGCGAGGGGGAGTTTAGAGAGCAGAAAACAAAGTATCCCTGGAAAAATTTGAAAAAAATCATGATTTCTAGCTTCGAAAAAAAGTTTTTTGAAGAGTGTCATATCAATGGATTTGGCATGTCCGATTGTCTGTTGAGACTTGAGAGAGTTAAAGTTAAATGAACCTCTAACAGTGTAAACCCAATAGGCCAATACACAATATGCTTTTACTTTTATAAAGTCATTAACATTGTACGTGTCATTTGAATCAGAGTACAATTTATGATGCAACTCCGATGTAAATAATATTTGGGGCGTAAAGATTAATCTAGGCAAGTCTATTTCCTAAAAGAATTAAAAACTAAAAATAATGTTCGTAAAAATTCGAAACGTGCCTTGCAAGCAAGCTATTTGCATGACAAGGCACTACAAACTTTATTCAGGGGAGATAATAGAGTTTCAAAACTTTACAATTGCTCCAATAAACCAGTGAATGCAAGCGAGGAGCGATTAGTTTCAGAGTGTTGCACTGTCTTTTTCTGTTCCAGTGTACTCCTACATTTATTTTGTATCATCAACACTTACGTTGGAGTGGACTGTTTAATTATTTATTTATTATGCCGAATATTGGGGGGGGGGTGTTGAAATTTTTTGGAGGGGTGGACATTTTGTTTGGGGGGGTTATAGCTAATATTGGAGGGGTAGCACCCCCCTGCACCCCCCCACAAAATCTGTCTATGGTTTTTCCCCTCTCTCCTCCACAGAGGCTTACATTCAGCTAAATAAAGGAAGCCTTTGCAAGTTAATGCAACCAATATGGCATCATATATAGTGAAGTTCAATCACCCTAAAGCAACGGTTTTCAACTGGTTTTCTCATGTGTCCCCGATTTCACATGATTGAATTACCACGTCCCTGAACAGAAATTGCCCACTGAAGTCTATCAAAAACACGAATTTCGAAATAGTTAGTAAAATAGTAAATGATTTAAATTTTAAATAATAGATAGAAAGTCAAGCAAACATGTTTATAGTACAAACTATTGTATTCAACTATTGTATTCAACTATTGTTTTCTCAGTCCTAGACCAGTTTGTGTCCCCTAGGAATTTGCCAAATGTCCCCTCTCGGGGACATGTCCCCCAAGTTGAAAACCCATGCCCTAAAGGGTGTTAAAACATTTTTTTAGACTTTCATTTTCAGGCGTACTTGAGTATCCTGTGGTGAATTCAATATCAATATCTTCTGTCCATTTGCATAGAAAAATATTGAGAAATTGCAAACAAATATCAATGGATACGAGCTATCTAATTATAAATATCCTCTTAATTGCAACATTTCTTTATAAAAATGACTCTATTGAACTTCGATACTCAGATTATTAATTCAATTTCTTTCACATTTCCGTCAATTTCAAGATTAAAAAATAGGTACGCGACGCGTACATGTATCTGCGAAAAAACTTGATCACATTTTGTATTTTCTTGAAAGAAACTGAATAATGAAGATGACATGGGACAATTGAAATATTTCATCACTTATTATAATGGCAGATAAGATTTAAAACAGGGCTGTACACAGCGGGGAGTGCAGCAGGGGGAGTGCCGCAGGGCAAGTGCTACCCACCCCCGCACCGAGAAAATTTAACTAACTTAATTTATGATGTGATCATGATTGTAACAAATAATTATGCAGTCAGGATATAAAAATTTCATGCAAACAATATTCAAAGTGTCTAGTATACAGCCGGTTATTCAGTAAACTGTCACCTGTCAATTCAATTCATACTCATCAAATTTTCAAAACTTTATTGTAATCATATGAAGCAAAAGTTATGTCACTTGTTGTTTACACTTGCCAATGTTAACTGTTGAGTAACATACACAAAATATTTGGTGAACATGTCGAAGACCACTGAATAATTGAGGATGTTTTGAAGGTCATGAGTGAAGTATATAATTAAATTCCAGTTCTGTGCACAGTTAAATTAATGATATACCACACTGTTCGGTTTAACATGTACAGCACATTCACACAAAAACAATCGTGTTGTGGGAGATTATCGGTTTGAGTAGAAGGTATCACAAGTTTAGTTTTGTAGATTGTGTGCCATTGATCAAATCCACCATATAATATATGATTACTCATTGTAGCTGTTAAGTTATTTTCCATACCAATGAATTTAGGGCATGTAGTAAAACACTGACTACCGGAACACCACTGGAACACCGCCGGAACATCACCGGAACACCACCTAACCCTAACCCCAAACCACAACCCTAACCCCCAACCCTAACCCCAAACAAAATGGTGGTGTTCCAGTGTTCCGGTAGTCAGTGTTTTACTACATGCCTGAAATTAGGTAAGATTGTCTTGCAAGTTGGTTGTTCTGACAAAATTATCCAGCCAATATCCAGTACATTTATTCTTCATTCTTGTATTAATCTCTAAAGAGAAATATTTATGTTAGAAAGCAAAATGACAATGTAATGAGGCTCAGGAGGGTGAGGATTCTTTTATTTGAAAATGTTTGTAAAAATTTTGTTTAATTAACTCTAATGTGTAAAACCAAAATGTATAAGTATTTTAACTAATAACATCTTCAACCTTTGCTCTAACACTACATTTGATGACAGCTTTATAGTTGGACTGTTGTTTTGAACAGAGTTATGGAGTCAATATACAGAAATACAGGACCAGGATTTAATTCAATATCTCCTGAGAATGTTTTCACTGTTTAAAATATTACAGAAGTCACAGAAGGATTGTTTTTAATACTGTATAAATCTTTTTGCGAACTATGTTGACAAATAGCTTAAAATATCCTCGAAAATATCCAATATTTTAACAGTGTAATATATTAATAAAAAATTCCAGAGTGCATTCCATGTAAACTCTACGCCGAAGATACGGCAATAATACTATAGATAGTATAGTAAATATTTGCCGAACTGGCGAACTCATGTATTAATTATAAAACTTATAAAATATGTTGGACATACATTTGCACAAATTTGGTATTTAAATAAATAATATGTGGTATTTCACTACTTACCAGATGAGGATAAGATTCCATGTTGATAAATAACGTCGGAATAATATCGCAAGTTCATTCAAATTGGCTGTCTTCAATTCAAGATAAATTGATAAAAATATCAAGATATTTTTGAAAGAATATAAAACACGATTTATACACGAGGCCTGACGAGGCTAAAGTATGCCCGTTCGCTGGTTAGATGCGGGCACGATGTAAACAATTGATGTAAACGAATCGCTGATTGGCTTAAATTGGCATAAATTGGCTGAATTATATAAGCCCGTCGCTGAATGGCTAGGGATACGGTACGGTACGGTCACGGCACGTTTGCGATAGCATATATATCTGCTTTGCAGATACAAAAAGGTCAAACTATAGTTTGGTTCAAAAACCATACTTCATCACATTATCAGGCAGAAAAAACTGTCAAAATGAACGAAAAGAAGGCTATAGCCCTACTTTTTTGCTGTTTTTTAGCCTGTTATGAAAATCTGTTAATGTTTAACATTGAAACAGATTTTCTCATCAAAACAATCACTTTCAAGTAATAAAAACATGTTTTTAAAACATTTTGCAAAGGGGCCAACCACAGGCAAGTGGCAACCTGTGCTCAGCAAAGGGAGACCACAGGAATTTTTTTAAATTAAAAAAAGCCAGGAACTATTAATCCAAACTTTCTGAACATTGTCTAACCATTTCTATCATCAAAACAATTACGTGCGACTGATAAAAAATGTTCATGGACACAGGGCTTCCGCGCTTATTGGCTTAGATTGGATTAATTCCCCCAAGGGATAAAACATATTATTCAGCAGGGCTTCAAATTTGAATTTTTCAGCAGTATCCAACAGGATACTATAGCAACTTAAAATCTGATATCCATCGAGAAAATCTACTACCCCACATTTGCAAAACATCTTTTTGTTTACGAGCATTACCCATGGAAAGGATTTTTTCAAGCCTTTTAAATTTTTGTTTCTTCATACTTTGCTTGGCTTTGGCACTTTTTTGAGTGTGTCTGTCTTGCTCAGTCAAATTGAATTCAGTTGCCTTTGTTTATATTATTGTTTGATGGTATTTTGTCAAGAAATATCAGCTGTGGACAGAATTTTTTTAGTATCCCTCAGGATACTGTGCTTGTGATTTTCCAGCATCCAAATTTAAAATCTGGTATCGCCAGGATACCGCAAATTTGAAGCCCTGTTCAGAATATATAATTTTCATGCCACATTGCCTGGAAGGCGTTTTATAAACTAACCTTCTTTACAAATTACAAGATTCAAGACAGCAACTATAAATGATTCTGTTTCATAGAAAATAATCTTTCTTTTCCTGTCATATCACCCGGTTCAACTTTGATGACTGATCACTGATCCAAGTTCTCTTGGAACAAAACACCTAAACAATGAGAGATTTTAATCTAGTTATTTGCAGATATCAACTGACAACATATATAGCAGACAAAGGGTGCAACAAAAAGGGTACCACAGGAAATTTTTTAAAAATTCATAAAGAGCCCCCAACTCACAAAACTTTCTTTCTCTTATCAAAACGATCACTTTCGACTAATAATCATGAATCATGATAACAGACAGTCGTAGCACTGCCACATGATACAAATTTTTATGTCATGATTTTTGTATTTATGCTCTAATTGTGATGTTTGTTACTTTAATGCTGACTTTTGAAATTTCTCAAGCTTTACTCTTGATATCTTGCTTTTTCTTAAACATTTCCTGTGAGATTAAAAAAATTCCTGGCAGCATGCTGCCAGACTTTCTCATGCCTTGAGCCATGGAATGGAAGAAGACATGCACATGGATAATTTATTTATTAACTTCAGCCGTCAACAGAAATATAAACATATGCAAACAGGAAGACGGTTCAGGAACACTAACACAGTGTGAGCCAATTACGTTAGTGACCTGTTACAAAACATCATTACACAAAACTTCACAACTTATAATTGAAATATCATGCAAACAAGAATATAAGCTAGTATAATCCTTTTTATCCAAAGTAGAGAGAGAGAGCGTAAAAAATTTCAAAATTTGAAAAAAAAACAAAATGACAAAATTGTCAAACAGAATAAATGCGAGAAATATAGATTCTGTATATATTCTAATATATATGTTATATTATTATTATTCTGTATATATTTTTATATTTTATATATTCTCTATATATTCTGTACCAGTGTGCATTCCATGCACTCCACGCCGGATATATCCAGCGAGAGGTTACAAAATTGTTGGTGTAAAAAGACATGTTTCTTAACATTTTCAATCTTGAATTTGTCATTTTGGAGCTGAATGTGTACAAATTTTAATCAAATTTTGTCCATACTTCTGTAAGAAGTGCTTCTTAGCATTTTCGATTTAAAATTTGTTGTATTGGGGCAAAATTTTTGTTTCAGTAGTTAAATTTCTCCTTCGTGATATATTCTGAATGCGTAATGAGCTAACTTGGAGACCCACAGATCGGAATTTTAATTAAATTATCACAAAACATGTAAACAAAACATGTGAGAACATGAGCAGAGCAGAGCAGAACGGACTTGACAGCCTCTTTAAAAAATTTTCGCCGCAAATTAAACAATCAAATAATATAGAATAAGTAAAAAGACAAAGTAGAACAGTTAACATGTTAGATTTAGATGACATTTGCATTTATACTTGTAAATGACAATGTACTTTATGTGCTACTAGTAGTTTAATTTTTACAGCAGCATAAACAGTGTTTTGAGTCCAAAATCATTAACCCATTAAGCGCCAGCGCTTTCACTTGACGAGTAAAATTGTCTGGCGTTAGACAGAGTAAAAAAAAATACTAAAGTAGGGTGCATCGTCACTCAATGGGTTAACTAGACACATGGGCAGATAGGCCAGTTAACCCATTAAGTGCCAGCGCTCTCCACTTGACGAGTAAAATCGTCTGGTGTTAGACAGAGTAAAATACTAAAGTAGGGTGCATCGCCACTCAATGGGTTAATCAAATGATGTTTAATACTTATGTTATACTTCATCACTTTATCATAATTAATTCACTGTCAAAGAATATAGCCACTTGAAAAACATTTACCAAAGTAGCTCTGAATCTGACTCATTCTCTGGCTCACTGTCAAATTCTGATTCCCCAATGCTTAAGTCGCTGTCAGAGTCAATCAGAGTCATCTTACTTCTTCCTGTTCAGGAAGATTCAGAGCCGCTGACCATTTGCTACGAAATTCAAGATGGCGACAAGAAAACAATTAAGAAAGTTTATATTATCGCTTTTTCGACAGCAACTTATTAACAAAGCAAGCTATGTTGGTCTTATTGATCTTCCAAAATAAGTGATGTTTTGTTTGAATTCCAATTGGAACATAACAAACATTGCGTTTGTTCGCTTGTACCTTTGTATATAATTTTTTCCTGTGACCAAACGAAAAGTAGCCGGCGGAACTCTGCCAGCCGCAGGCTCATTCTGAAATCCCTGTTTTATTGCAGAAAGTTTTTCATTGTAAATACAATATATATAATGGGTCGTTCCAGAAAAGATCCATACCCCCCCACGGAGGAAATTTTTGCTGTCCGAAGGGGGAGGGAGGAAAAATGTCTTAGGATGTCCGAAGGGGGGGAGAGGGATGTGGATATGTTTGTCTGAAGGTTTGAGACTGTGATAAAGCTATGTGATCGGCGATTATAATGAGCACGCAATTTTTTATCGGCTATATGTAACTCTTGAACACCGGAACGTTTATGTAACAGCAATAATTATACGTCCACGTAACTTGTAAGCAAAATAAGCGGCCCACTTTTGCATGCATGGCCACCAAAAACTAACTCGCTGTAACAGCGTATCCTGCATGTTGAGAATGAGTCGAAAATTGACGCTTTATTTATATAGTTTGCAGTTTTCGTATATATAAGTTTGAATTATTCAAGTGTTACTGTAAAAATAATAGTTATTAAACTGCTGCTCGAATTAAGAGATTGCTATGTGAACTGAACTCAAAACAATTTGTTTTAGTATATAGTCAATAAAGCTTCCTTGCGAGGTGCGTGTCTAGAAAATAGAAATGGCTTTCATATTAAGGGCGAGGTTAAGGAATGCAGTAATACTAAAAAATGCATTAACATGTAAGTAAACACAGCAACGCTTGTCAATCAGTCGCAAGTTACATCGAATTTCAGTCCGAATTTTACTTGAACGAATTTCGAAGTGAATTTCTGCAAATTATCCGACAAAACCTGCCACGTGTTTGTGTTCGCAAGTCACAAGAAGCCGCCAAGTGTTCCGCCACGCCGGAGCTATTTGAAAACAGCGTAGAAAAGTCACAATAAGCCATCGCTAATTCACTCTACGCTGGAGCGAAATCGTTTGAAAACTTTCACGTCACTTTTGCCGTAACAATTTGAGCACGGTTTCTAAACGGAGCGAGGTGAAAACGGCGGAGCGCTTGATAGCTTCGTGTGAACACAAACGTGTAAACTCGAATGCTTTTCAGTTAAATTTCTTGGGTCTATTTGAAATATTTTGGGTTTACACAAGTGCTAATTCAATTTGTAAACAAACTGTAATGGCTTAGTCTGAACACACGTAAATTCTACCCGCATTAGTTCGCTTGCGCGTAGTGTGAACGTAGTCGAATTTTCGGTGACGTTTTCAAACGGCAAGCTAGCCTTTAGAAAAATTTAGAAATAGTGGATGTCCGAAGGGGAGGGGGGATAATTTTGGGCTTTGATGTCCGGAGAGGGGGGGAGGATGAACCATTCAAGGATGTCCGAAGGGGGGGAGGGGGTTATTTTCAATTTCCTCCGTAGGGGGGGTATGGATCTTTTCTGGAACGACCCAATATGGACTGAAGGAAAATCTTAAACATTGATTCACACTTGAAAACCAACATTCAACAATAATATAACATAAAATTTGTTTAACATATTTATTAGTCGTCCATTTTGGCATACAACAAAGGAAACTCGTGGCCGTGGTCTTTTCTCTGTGAGCGACAGATGCCCGGGGGTAATAACCTGATATTGACAAATGCCCGGCCCCCGGGTGAACACGCAGCTGTAAGTGCCTGGCCGTGGGGACAAGTAAGCGTACAAATGCCCCACACTGTCCTGGGGAGGGAGGAGGGGGGAGGGAGGAGGGGGGAGGTAATCGCAGCTGGAATTGACCGATGCATAATCTGGGCGTTGCCAAAAAAGGATTGAATTTCGCTTTGTTTTTTGAGATAGTTGAATCCTTACTAACAAAAGCTTGTTACCACTGGCACTAACTACGTTGGTTGATAATTTATAAAACCTTGCTTTTAATAAACCCCAGCAAATTGAGACATATGATATATCTTTCATACATTATTAAGATTTAAACTATATCAACACAAGAACAAGCCCAAATACCTTAGAAGCAGACACGCCAGAGTATTTTCAGCAGCTTCTGAACAGGTTACGGCGCTGGTATCGACGCGAAAAGACCATCACACTTCAAGCTTCAACCACGTGTTGTAATTCAGTAAGCTTCACAGAATAGCATCTTTTGAAGGAATTTGCAGCCCTTTTTTAACGGCTAAGAACACAAGAAAGTCCATTCTTAAAGATAAGTGGTAATACTTGGATAAAATCGAAAAAATAAAGGTTTTAGAACGAACATTTTGATCTAAAACTCAATTTAATGTTGGCTTTTATTGAAGCTCTTTCGATTTCCTCGCCATTGCTAAAATCTCCTGCACGTGTTAGCCTGGCGCGGGCAAAGCCTGGATGCGGGCTGCGAAGGCATTTGGTCACAGGGGAGGGGGTGGGGGCAGGTCACGGGGGTAATAAAAAAATTTTCCGGACTAACATTAGAAAAGCTAAAAAAAAATTTCGGACAAACATAACCAAATATTATAAACTGTTAAAATTGGGAAGGATTTCATAACTTTGACCAAATTTTACCAAATTTGTTCTCAAACTTCAACAATTTATTCTGCACTACGGATATACAAATATTCAAAAATCATTCATTATCAATACTAAGAAAGCATTTCTCGCGAACTATGCCATCTCTTCGCAATAAATAGAAATAAACTATTGTAAAAAATTACAGAGCACAGAAGTGACCATTTCGCTGTGTCAGAAAATAACAGCATCACACGTTTCTGAAAAAATACTTAGAGGCCTCGTTAAAATAAATAGAGGCCTCGTTGAAATAAATAGAGGCTTCGTTTTCGAAATTGAAATGCTTTACCTTGCCACAAGCGACACATTTAGGAAATCATATCATTACAGCTGTCAGTAATGTCAATATCTCAATTAGAAAAACGATTCTCTATAGCCGATGCTAAGTACTTTCAGAAGGATGTGAAATTTATTATAACGGCCATTAGTATAATTACATAGGTGATTATTGAAAATTCTCCACGCTGATTGGTTGCCGTTGAGGTGATTATTACGCGATAATCACCTAAGCGATTTTCAAAATGGCGGCCGAAGCCTTTTTGTCAATTAAATGACGAAGAAATGTGTATTTTTTTATTTTTTTTCCATATAATCACCTATGAAATTATACTAAAACAATTATTCACCTCAGGCTCGGTGATTATCGTGAATAAAAACCTCGACTTCGTCTCGGTTTTTATTCACCGATAATCACCTCGCCTTCGGCGAATAATTGTTAATTATAGGTGTAATATTTAAATCACCGTAAGGCGAAATGTAATTTATAGTAAAAAGTGAAAACCCTTTTTCACTGTCAAAATTGCTGGATTGAATTGCAAATTAGTTGTTGCAATTTACTGATATATTACGTATATGTCTTCATGTTTATCGATACCATAGAAAAATTATGGCATTTCTAAATTTCAAATATTTGATGATGTGACTTCAGCTCGTCACTACCATAGATATCTTGTCACTACCAGTTGCAATTCGGAAACACATTTTTCTCGCATCACTATATTCCAAAACGGTTACAAAACCAGCACTCTAGATATATGGAAAGGATTTATGCTTTTTTGTCATATTGCATAAAGATTACAGATACGCTCTGTAATTTTGAAGACGCGTCGTTGTCCAGCTGCGTCGAATACCTTAATTCTATATTCTACTCAGTCTAACACCCAGTGACGATTTTACCATAGATTATAGATCATACGATCGATTATACCATAGATTATAGATCGTATGATCTATAATCTATGATTTTACTGAGGAAAGCACTGGATAAAATTAGAAAGCGGTAACAAAAATTAATTTTTATACGTACATTCAATTTTGCAGCAGCCTCCTATAAATGAAGACAAAGAAATAAACTAGTGGTCACATTTTTTTGAAAGAAATAAAAATCCCAAAATACATACCTAGCAAGGTGCAAATCGTTTGTAATATCATGAAAATACATACTTTAATTTTCTCCATTTTTGCCTCAGATATTCCTTTTATCTGACACAACTTTCTTCTTGTGGTCATTTGAACACCCTTATGAAAGAAAGAATAAGGTATGATGGAAAGTGGGTTGGTTATTCCCTTACACCCCTCCACCTCTATATACCTTCAGGAAATTACCTTTATGGTATATATTCCAGATGTTTTCAACTTCTTAATATCAGCAACGTTCTGAAATCAAAGTATACACATTGATGCATGGGCACTGGGGCATTGTTTTGGTTGCTGAGATAAACAAACTCTAAGTGGGTTCGCGCAAAATGTTGAGATTTTGAAATGGCTGTTTCTACGCAGAAAACTCCACGTTTCAATATCTTTCAAAAAGTTTTTCGAAAGTTGGCGGCCGGAGCGGGGAGGGGGAGTTTACTTAGTTCCTATAGCATCCTAACTACCAAGAATGTTTTATCGTCCCAGACTATACCCAGGCTATAATTATTCTAAACTTACAATTCCATGGTTTTGTAGCAAATCACTATCCAAGTAAAACGATTCCTAAAGCAAAGAAGTAGCTGAGTGTAACTCGTATTATAGAAGTACAAAACGTGGAGAGATTCTGTCCATGAGAAGTATTCTTCTTGAGAAATTAAAATCACATTCACGTTTCGAAATTGCAAACTTTTTCAAGAATCAAGTGGTTCAAAACGTAAACCACTGCTGAGCCAGCTTGAATTCCTTTCAGCTTTTTAATATTTTACCATTTCAACCAAAATATTGAAACATTTTTGCAAACTTTCTCGGAAATGAAAATTATATAAAAAAATTATATAAAAAATTGAAATATTGAGAGCATCGTCCCGGACTCACGTAAACGACAATTCAATACATATGGAAAAATTCAACTTTCCTTTTAACTGGTTAAAGATTTCCCATATCGTAAATTAGTAAAAAGCATATGAAGTTTAATATTTATAGCACTAATGGTACTTTATTTTTTCTTGTGCACAAGAAAATTATCATATTTACCACTTTACAATACCGTAAACGTCCGACTATAAGCCCCCCGAATATAAGCCCCCCCCCGACTATAAGCCCACCACATATACTAACACTCACCTCATTCCAAATATAAGCCCCCTCCGACTATAAGCCCACCCGAATATAAGCTCGCCAAATATAAGTCCCCCGAATATAAGCCCACTACGTTACTCGATCAACATTGACATTGTCTTTTAATATCCAGCAGAGAACTGTTTTTGAACAGATGACAATATTTAAAAACATTGTCATTGTCTTTATAACTCACTATGTTAATCAAAACGCGTTATTAATACATGTTTATTTTCCTGTTTATGATCATTGACTTGTTTATATCTGACTTGTTTATTACTAACACAAAAAATCGTCCATGTATAACCCCCCCCTTATATAAGCCCCCCCCCCAATATATAAGCCCACCCTTACAAAAGTATATAAGCTCAGGGCTTATAGTCGGAGGTTTACGGTATGAGAAATCTATAATAACCAATAATGGTAAGAGTCAGTTTCTAAATTGATAGCATGCATGGTAAATCTTTAAAAACCATTCAAAAACCATTGATGGAAATTTAAAATTTTTCCAAAAATAAAATACCTCCTCCTCTTCTTGGTCGCTGATTTCTGGATCAACAACTTGCTCGTCTCGACGTGAAGCTTGCGTGGTTTTCGATGAAACTTACAAAATATTTAACAATTCGTACTCTAAAAAGAGAGAATATTAACGGTGTTTCTAACGTGGAGGTTCAGTATTATGTATTTAGGTAGTATTTTACAGTAAACTGCCGAGTGGTTTGTGTTTGAGGTGCCTTGAAAGATTATTAAAAAGCACATCGATGTAGCAGAGATTTTTCGTAAAGAGGTTCATAGCGCAAAGGTTCTTCGCCCAAAAACGTTTTAGGTAGTTCAGACACAAACCACGACAGCTTATAATATTTGTGTAGTTTCTGCACCAAAGGTAATTCTACAAGTACATATTTGTTGAGTTATTTTGAAAACAAATGTATAAATGAAAAATATCAAATTTTATTCAATTTCAAAATGCAAAGCACTTTCAGAGTTTTATATAGTAAAAGTCTAAGTCTTGTTTAATTAATAGACTATAAAAACAAACTTAAACATACCTTTTTACAAAGAAGTTGAAAGATGTAAGTGTTATTGAATGAAATATTGAAATATTTTGAAAATGTGAATGTTTTTTGTTTTGCCAGTCAGTGGAATTTCAATTTTCCCGCCTTTTCACAACCTGGAGTCCTGGACACGCTTGCTGAGAACGCGGGACAATACGCGTGTTATGCGTGAATCTCGCGCTGTCGCGTGTAAGACTATATAACTATAATTGAATGACTATACAAATATATTTAATAATTTAAAAATGTGCATATTACTATATTTTACATCACAGAATGGTATAATTATGCAAAAATTAATTTGTCATCGATTCTTCTCTTTATATAGCTGTTATAACCCAGCTTAAGTAAACACGACAGGAACGCTGTGACAATATCGTTTCTTGTGCTGCCTTCACGCTTACGCCCCCCCCTCCCCCACCATCTCGATAACCATTCATATAGACCCATTGCACTGACGTCACAAATCCTTAGAGTGTCCTCCAGATGCTCGCTAACATTAGCGAGGTTTAGCAAAGACGACGGAACGTCAACGAGGACGTGAAAATGGCGCGCGTAAAAATGGCGTGGGCACAGCCATAGATGGGCATATCACGTCATTTTTACGCCATTTTCACGTCCTCGTTGACGTCGCGTCGACTTTGCTAAACCTCGCTAATATCTGTTCGGGTACAACCACATACAGCGCAAAAATTAATATTTTAATACAAAATTATTATAAAGTTTTACAAAATTTGCTTTGTTTACCGCAAAAGTTATATTATGCATAGATTGCAAATTTGTCCTCCAGATGCATCGTCACCGGCGCTGTGACGTCAAGTGCAATGGGTCTTTTACAGTTTCAAATACCAACTTCATTGAATGCATAGCTAGATTTGTAATATGTTATATTCCACTGAGCATGTTGTTGTATTCTTCGATGTTACTTCTGACGTGTGAAAAAGCATTTCTCAGTCCAATTTTTAAGAGACCTTCAACAAGAAAGGGAAAATCCATTTAGAAATAATAGAAAACTACATGGAAGCACTGAGCTCCATATTTATCTGGAGCAATCTGGAGTGAGAACTTGAGTCCAAAAATTGAAAATTGAAGAGCAATTGCATGTTAGTTCCAGTCCCTTTCTGTTGTTCTTATCAGCGCGGCTAACACGAAGCTGGCAAGGAGATTGGCAAGGAGTGTGTCGAAATTACGTATTTTGACATCGATTTAAAGAATAACACTATGGTTTTATGATCTCATAACTTGTTCAGCGATACATTGGATACAATACGTCAGAAAAAGCTGGAATTACCTGGGGAAAATGGTATTAAAACTGTTTACATTGGACGTTAAGTTCCGCCGCCTGCATAATACGACCATCCAGTGTACTAACCTGATTTGTAAGAGCCTTCTAACATTGACTGTAGAGAATTTTGAACATCGATTTGAGCCAGAAAAATAACTCTCGTATGTACAGTGTTATCTACAATCGATTCAATAGAAGCAAATTCAGTCTCGACTGCGCATCGCAAAAACACGTTTTGCGTCAGAATAAATTGCGGTTAACTATAAGCTGAAACTAAAAAATTCGAATATGCATATGTGAGAGTATTCAACTGTTCAAGAATGAGCCATTACATGCCCCCCACCCCTGTCGAGGACCTCAATTCCAAGGGAGTTAATTAGTCATTTTTTCCAGACGGGTAATTGGGAGAAAAATGAGAGGAAAATGCTGTTTCCAGAGGGGTTAAAATACAAAAATGCACGTCCAGAAAAGGACCACGTCTCTTCCAGAGGAGTCAATTACCCAAAATCAAAGGTCCTCGACACGGGAGGGAGGGAGGGGGGGGAAGGGGTAGTTATTAAATGTAATCGCCATTCATCAACACGTTGCTCTTGCGTTTATATATATATACATCCATCCATACTCAATCCGATAATTACCTTGCAATATCTCGGGACAAACAACAATTCCTGAACACGCCAGTTTAATTGTAGTGCAGTTCTATAAAAAATCAACCAAAGTAAGAATAATATATACCAAACATAGTTTGACTACCCGCAAACACCCGAATATAAACCCATGATTAATTGGGTAGATTAAACGCATCTGATTGACCCTTTACTTACACTTTCTTGATCGTTGTCTGACTGAGATACGGAGACAAAAAGTAGACCTAAAGAGATTGCAGAAAAATTTGATCACATCCACATGTGAACTTGCGCAATAGAAATACTAAATCGTAATCATTCGCCAACGAGTCCCCACGAGTTGGAGCAACCGCAAGCTTGACACTGCTCCATGCCTTAGTTCGTTTGAAACAAATGATTAATCAATCATAAAAATAACCATACTCACCGCACTTTTTATCCGGCATACTATCAGGTTGAATTTTCATTCTTAACCACAGACAATCACGGGTGGATATTCTTGGTATGGGAATATCAAACTTACTGTAGAAAATGTCCGCTTGTGGGAGAGTATCTAAAATTCAGGTTACATAATTTACCGTTGAAGGGTTCTTGTAAATGGAAATTATCGAGTGGAAATTTATATGCATTTAAAATACTCATTAATAATTCATAAACCTTGTGGCAAATCATGTCAGCCATAATATATCACGTGGAGTGACTTTATATCTGATAAAACACATGTGGCATTATATAATTGTTTATCTTAATTAGCATGATTATATTATGGTTCATTCTAATTAGTATTCTTTTCTAGTCGTATTTTAAGCTATCCAAAACACTCGTTGTCGTGTTTTATCAGATATAAAACGCTTGGCTGCGCCTCGCGTTTTATATCTGATAAAACACTCCTAATCGTGTTTTAAATAGTACTTATTAAACCTAACCAGGAACAGCTGCGAAAATATACATGAACTTGTGGTTAGAGCTCGACAACTGGCCTCTGAAGCTCAGTTGGTTAGAGCACTGCACAGGAATCGCAGGACCGCACGTTCGATTCCTGCCAGGGACCTGTAGTTGTATTTTTCGCAGCTCTTCCTGGTTAGGTCTAATAAATGTATATAAATTTCCACTCAACAATTTCCATTTACAAGATCCTTCAACTATTATTCAATCGGGTGAGATGCCATCAAAATCTTGACATTTACATAATTTATCGCATTTTCAACAAACAAACTAACAAACTTACTAACAAAGTAACAAACTAACCAACTAACCATCTGCATATCAATGTATGTATGTATGTATGTAAACTTTATTTAAAGACGTTAGCCTCGTCAACGATTTGTTGATTTTCACGAGGGACGTCTGTTACTATCAAAAATTACAAATATGATATAGAAAAGAATAAAGAATTATATACAACTATTTACAATACAAGAATTAAGTTCCAAACGGTGTGATCCATATTTCTAAAGCATGCATATACAGTATATTAGAAGATGTTAGCGTGAATCTTTCAGGCAGTTTTTAAAAGAATAAATTGATTGCGCTAGCTTCGCATCAGAAGGAAGACTATTCCACAATTTAGCTCCGCTATACTTAAAGCTTTTTTTTAGAAATTCTCGTTTTGGCTTAGCAAGGGTAAGGTCAGTATAAGTATTGCGAAGGTTATAACTGGTTTGAACAAGGTCCCTTCTCGTTAGAGCATCCTTCAAGTTCGGCCCAGCGCAATCATTCAGGACTTTATACATTAATGTGGATTTAGTTGTACGTTGTCTTATCTCTAAATTTTCCCAAGCAAGGGATCGAAGAACATCAGCAGACCTTATTTCATAGCTGGCGCCGGTTATAATTCTCGCTGCACGGTTTTGGAACTTTGAAGCTTATCTTTCAGCTGTTGGTTACAGACGTCCCATAATGGACTACAATAATCAAAATACGGTTCTATCAAAGCTCTGTAAATGGTATGCAGGGTATTTATAGGAACATATGGCTTAATTCGTTGCATTGCTCCTATGCCGGCCCCAACTTTCTTACAAATCATTTCAACATGCTCATGCCAATTAAGGTTTTCATCAAGTTTAACCCCAAGGCATGTGTATGAATGAGCAAGAGTTATGAATTGGTTATTCATCATTACTGGAATATCATGCATAAGTCATAGTATCAGTATTATACTTTGAACCGATATACATTAATTTGGTCTTAGTTGGGTGGTGTTGCAGTTTATTTCGAGCAAGCCACTCATCGACTTTTTTCAGGTCATTATTTAGATTTTCAGTAAGTTCCTCAATAGTTTTGGCAGAAGTAGAAATTTGAGTATCATCAGCGTATAGGTGTGGCGAAGTTTTTTCGAGGCATTCGGGTAAATCATTAATATATAATAATAACAGCAAGGGACCAAGAATTGATCCCTGCGGAACTCCGCACACAATCGTTTTAGGTGATGACATTGCACCGTTGACAATGCATGCTTGCTCTCTATTAGTTAGATCGGACTTAAACCAATCCAGTTCCCCATTTTTTATTCCAAATTGATCATTCATCTTTTGCAATAAGATTGTATGATCAATAGAATCAAAAGCTTTTCTAATATCAAGGAAAACAACACCACTCAACTAACCATTATCCATGTTCTCATAAAGTGTGTCACACATTTGAATGAGTGTTGTTAAAGTTGAATGCTTAGGCCGAAAGCCAGATTGATGTTTAGATAGCAGCGAATTATCATTCAAAAACTTATAAATCTGGTTGAAAACAGATCTCTCTAGTATTTTACTGACAATAGGCAATATAGATATCGGTCGGTAATTTTCACATCTTTGTCTATCATCAGATTTAAAAATTGGCATTACCCACGCCTTTTTCCCTTCATCAACATATATCCCAGTTTTGATTGAAAGATTATAAATCCATGTTAATGAAGGACCAATAACTTCCACGGACAATTTAAGAGCTATAGCAGGGATGTTATCAATACCGGTAGACTTTGAAATTTTAAGATTACGTAATTGACAAATAATATCATCCATACTAATTTCAGAAAACTTAAAATTTATATTAGAATAATAGTTAGAGTGGTAATTTTCATCATCTGAAAAGTTCGTACATGGAGAATCGTTCTCAATTTCATTAGCCAAATTTACCCCGATGTTAACAAAGAAGTCATTAAACGCCTCAGCTTTCAAAGTATCATCTGAAATCACAACATCATCACATTTAAGTTGAGAGATATTGTTTGATTTTTTGTTTTTACCTAAGAGAATATTAATTAACTTCCAACTATGTTTCATATCTTTCGATTGTGCGCAGTTCTCAAATTTGTTACAGAAAAATGCTGTTTTAGCTTTAGTTAGTTCTGAATTGACTTTGTTACGTATTTCTTTGAATTTCTCCCAGTAAATCTGGGAATTATTTTTAAAATCATGACATTATGCCTCTACTTGCCGCCGAAATACCGGCAAAGTTGAACTCAAGTCAACTTTCCCGGCCTACTGCCGATGTAACTGAGGCACTGGAGGCAATCGGCGAACAAATATTCACATAATTTACGTTTTAAAGCTACCACCGGTATCGTCGCCGGTACGTCGCAGGCACGTCGCAGGCATATATGTGAACCTGGCTTAAAAGTCATCAATTTTGCGGGCTATGTTGCTGAATGAGGTGTAAACAACGAAAATTTGATTATATTTGCAGCCATTCAGTGTGTTTACGCCTGTCTGTATTTAAAATGTATATGATTATTATGTATACGTACTTATATGCATAAATTATCACAATTGAACACCCCAAATGCTGGAGATTTTGAGGTCATGTGACCGGCCGATGCCAGGGCCATTTTCGCTTACTGTAAGCAAAATGCCCTGGGTACGAGGTTGGACTCCAATGACTCGATTCTTTATATCGCTATATAAGCAAGTTTAACTCAGTATTTTATTTAATCAGAAAATGATCGCCCGTAGAGTCAAAGAGGCTTTTGAGACCATTTGTGATTAAGACAGAGAGACCATGCTACGCAGATAAAAGTAGGAATGAGTTTGTTGGAAACGTCTGAAGCCGGTTGCCATGTGCTGTCCAGTAATTATTATAGTGTGGATTTTACATCCATGATTGCTATATAGTACTTATTCAAATACATTTGCCCTAAGGTGGAAATACCACTCATTGTTGCAAGCTGCATGGGTTGTACAATGAGCATGTAGTTTCAACTGCGTATTCAAATTACGCTGTTATTCCTGATTAAAATTTTATCAATGCTAACTTGCAGCTGCGACTAGAAATGTAAAATGTGATGATGGCGGAAATGAAGAGGGATACCTTCATTCATTCAGACTATATACCCAACCTGTCGATAACGCTTTTTACGAACGCTTATATAACGCCTATAATTACTGCATATAAAATCATTCTTTCAGATTCTTTCTCGACAGGCGATTTCGCATTACATTACCTCGTACATTACGATTCAATTTTTCTAACGTAAATATCGCGGCGAGTATTTACCCCCGTTTAAAACAAAACCCACCATTCTAATCCTCACTGATATAACCTTTCGAACGGTGGGGTCAAGTGCCGTCTAAACATTACACAAACCAGAACAATCATATATTTATACTCACCACTTCGCCAAACATTTAAACGAGAAAAAGTTGAATATCTTCTAAACTTTTCGTCATTTTCCGAAAGGCTATTTGTGTAAAATACTCTTTGTATTGAAGCGCTTTCGTGTAGAAAATTTCGTATGAATACGGCGAGTAGAAATATTTATTTTGAATTTTTCAACGTAACGGGTTTTACTGGCACGCGCGTGTATTTCGCAATACTTGGCCAATAAGATTCAAATTTTATGATAGAATCTCTAAAATAACGCTCTAGATAGTGTTTTTGATAGCGATTTGAACAAGACTATTACAAAGAAGATACATCCGAAGCGGCCGAAGTTATGTTCGGAGAAAGGTACGGCTAGCCTACATTGTTGTTCAGACAATTGCGTAATTTGATAATATACAATCTCGCTTGACTTCCAAAGGCCATAAATCTCGATAATGTTGACATCGACTAAATCTATCATTAGGAACTAGGAGATTTCGATTCGCTGAATCGAATGGTGGTATTTTTGTCTTCATAACATGCATTGAACCGAAGATATGAACCTCGCAAGGCGTACGACTTCTGTGTATTGTAAGAGTCTGGCAATCAGGGTCTTGTAAACATTTACTGAAGCCTGATCCTAGAACGACGCTAAACCCAGAGATCCGCAAGAAGCCTTAAAGAAGAGTAGGTTCAGTGATGGTTAGGATTCAGCGTTTATTTATGGTGAAGTTTCAGTCAATGTTATTTCCACGAACGGTCTGTGCCAGTGTAGGTTGCGACGATAACATGTACAAGACAATTTATCTTTGAGGTTTCCAGCGAAGGTCCTCGTCCGGAACTTAGTAGACTAAGAGCCTTCACTCGAAACGTCGAATTTCTGCTTGTAAATTTC